CCTTTTTCACATGCTGAGGTGCAGCACATGCCTCAGTTGCACCCTAGTGAAATCCATAGTAATGCTCTGGAGGATGTTCCCAGAGATGCTGTGGGGACAGCCCTCATTGCTAGCGCATACCTGCCCTCTTCCCCACTGCCCCTTCACACCATCAGATGCAATGCCCCAGACCACATAAAGCAGCAGGATGGGGTGCTCAGCCTGCAGTGGTGATGGACTGAGAATAAAAACAGAGATGCCTAATGTGTCACAGCAGTAACTAAGACTTTGGACAACCACTCGAGCAAACCTGATGCTGAAAAAGGAATACAAAGCATACGCACGTGCCAGTGACCCCGAGTCTACTTCGCCTAGCTGGAGACGGGTGCACTTTGGAGCTAGCGACGAGCACTGAATGGGCAGCTTCAACGCCCTTTCCTCCCAGGGACAGCAAGAAGTCAGCTTTGGCACTTTCCACATGGAAATGTTGACTCTTCTGAGTAGGTTGGTGCCTCGGTGGCAGAGGCGGCTCTCTCCCCATCTGCACAGTCAAGAGCTGGCTGGGGGGAGTGGTCAGCTGGGCAACACGACCTGATTAGGCACTGGAGTGAGACCAACACCACATTTCACACAGACATCTTTATTTTCACATTTCTGCATGTATGCAAGAGAATGTTCTTTTTCCTGGGATGTACTGGTAGGCATATTATACCCTACAGAATAGAGTTTAGCAATTTTATGTGTATATATATATGCACACACACATATATATAGTCTTGTAAAATTTCTTCTGCATTTCTCCCTGTGTCAGAATGTATGTTTACAACAAATCAGAGCTAAAGGGACACTGTGAGGTTTTGGTTTATTTTTCTTATCTCTAAAATAAAAGAATGCTTGCATTTTTCTTCAACTTGCTTGCCTGTTCTCCTGGTTATACTTAAGCAAAAACGCTGAAATGAAAAGACATGCTTATAAGCTTTTGATTTTTACTACTCAGAGATACTATCAGTGATACAAGTAGAACATTTTTGAACTCTTATCCATACAAGGGACAGACTATCAGTTAGGTGTATGTCACTGCACCAAATATAGGAGCACCCCTGAATCAGTGATGCAAATACATCATTAACATGTAAATGTTACACTCGCAGCACAGTTTGGCAGTTTAACAGCCTCTATGCAGCAAGATATGTGTTTGTAAGAGTCCTGCTTTTAAAAGTTTCTCTGTAAATTTTTAACCTGACAGCGTCCCTTAAGAAAAAAGTACATACTGGCTTAAGAAAGGACATCTTCCTGCAGATGTTTTCTTTTTATTATTAAAACCAACATTTTTAAAACCGTTCAACAAAATTTAATACAAATAGCCGTTGGAGAATAGCATTTGTGAAGCTACGCATTGCTGCTCCATTAACATGGCTTTAGTTATCACAATTTGTATTATTTGCACTTTTCCTTAGGTCTTCCATGGCACTTCCATGAAGAAGGAAAAAAGATCATTACACTGCTGCTACCATCTTATCAGAGGTCACATATGGACACAAAGATATTTGTTCTCACCATGTGCCACAGTCAGGCAACGCCAAAGTTCTGCCCACAATGCTTGAACCTTAGGATGTCCATACCTCAGGTTTATAGCTTGACTCGTGATTACTCACAATATTGCAATGCATTCAAAGTAACAGGAAAACAAACATCGACGGTAACAGGCACATTACATTTTGGTTTTGCATTATCATTAATCACATTCCTATTTTTCAACAGATTGTTGCCTAAAATGCATGTTAGAAAGGCTTTTTTTAGAAAATACTGTCATGAAAGTGCAGACTAATGTTTGTAACTAATGAAACACTAATGATTCAGACATTATTTAAACATTCACAACTTTGAGGAAATTTGCACAGCTGATAGCACTGACAGATAGTGTAACTGTAACTTAGAAGCCAGCATAGTAACTACCTTCCACATACTGGCAGTAGGATTTATGATGGTATGAGATTAGAATAGCATACTATGTTTTATTTAGAAAGCTGTAGTAGTAAGTATTTGCCATAAATATTGCAAGCCCCGGTTTATGAGTGATGGGAGGCTTTGCAAGTTTACAAAGTAACATTCACAGAAAACAAAAAACGAACCCAAAGACATTTCCATGCAGAGTACGATTCTCTCACAGTCACTGGATCTCTGTCATCTGTTGGCTGGAGCACACGTGCCATATACATGTATGCTGCTCACGGACAACCCAGAGGCCTTCTATGCACTGATGCATACCAGTCTCTGGCTGATATCAGTGGGACCAGAGGCAAACACAGGGTAATAAATGGTTTTGCAAAGGCAATGACTCTGCCACAAACAATTTTCAATTAGAGCTATATGAAAATACAACTGCTGTGTGTCACTTTGCCAGTCCTCCTATCTCAGCTACAGTGGACTTGAAGTGGAGCAGAGAGGTAGCAACCCAGGGCTGAACATCAGGTATGTGCAGGTGGGGTCTAGACTCCTGCAAGACCGAAATCGAAGCTAGTCATGCCTCAAGAGCAGAATGAGGACCAGCGTGGCTTTCGTCATCTCCCTCTCTGCCTAACTCAACCCCGCCATTACTGGGAGCTGAAAACTTATGCTGTGGAGCAGATAAGGAGATGCCAAAACTGCATGGTCGCTAATGGTAGCCTGATTTCAGCAATGTACTTTTAAGCATGTACTGAGAGGAACATCAAAATGTTTGAAGTATGTTGGCAAACTGGGGCCATGCTCAACAGAAAGCAGTTATAGCCCCTACAACACAGGCACCCCCACACCACCTGTATAGCACTTCTGCTAGCGGAGACACAGAAAACATAGCTGAGGCCAAATTCATCACAGTAACTCCAGAAATTAATCTAGCTTCAGGGACCATGGTATCATGCAACTAATAATGTTTCCTTTTGAAAAGGGCACATTCAAAACTTTTCAGGCTGTATGTGCCGTCTCATGGGCACATTTGGAGCAACACTGTCAGAGGAAAAAGGCACTGTGCTGGCCCAATGCAGACACTTGTTTTCCATTATCTTGACCACTTTGCCCTCAGCTGAAGTTAACTGCTTACACTGATAACAGACAGATACCCTTTTGGTGTGGGGAAGAAAAGCAGGTTATTCATTATATTAAATTCTGTCATTTGCTAAAGTGATTGCAAGAAGAATCAAGAAGGAAGAGTGTAAACACCGTGCCTTGTTTCAGCTACAACAGATTCTTTACCAAGTGCCTATTAAATAAAAACTAAATAGACAATATTGGACAACTGGAGGACAAGGCTATTCTCACAGCATCACATCACGTCTGCGAATCACAGCACATTATTGGAGTTGCTATGCTCTGTATCATTGCTAGGAAGGAATTAATTAAGGGGAATTGTATAAAAGGCAATGAACAGGATAGATTAGGGTGTCATTCCTGTGTATATGTAACTTCACTCACTTGAATAGAACTTTTGATGACACGTGAGCAACTGAAAGGAATAAAGTTAAGACTACATAGAAGTGTATGGAGGAGCACAGTAAAAGGGAAAAATGTCCCATCTCGGGAAATTAGCATAGCATTACACTAGTGCTGATCAGATCTACTTCTACAATCAGGAATACTTCAATAGATTCATTTTTTATAAAATATAGGGCTACAGAAATGAGGCATTCTATATATTTTGTATTATAAAAAGCTTTCACTTACATAATTTTTTAAAATATATCTTCACTGCTAAGAGTATATTTGTAATATAGTATCTGGTATAATAAAAATATATGCTTACTGGATGGGAGCGATGTAGCACTATGGCAGGGACTCTCCTTTCTGTGTGGTCTGAGCAGCTGGAAAAGTTGGCTGTTCCCTCCTTCCCTTGGTTTCTCAGCCATCGGCTGCCTGGAGACTGCAACGGTACTCTGGTGTGTTAACCTTCCTAAGAGTCCTCTGCAAAGCAGGCTCTGACATGTTCCTCAGCTGAAAAATAATCTACTGGGGAAAATCCAACCTTGGTGTAAATTGACTACATGATTCTTTCTCTTTTACTAATTAAAAATCCCAGATCCCGAAATCAAAGTGCTTTTTTGGCATTAGCAAGGAAATGGGACTTTTACAAGTCATGCAACTGCCTTGTAGGAAAAACAATTTTGCTATAGAAAACATCGAATTACCTAAAGGGACAACATATTGGCCTGGCAGCTAACATACAGGGCACTTTGTGGGTGCCAAGGTATGTGTATAGGAACAGAGCTGCATCATCTGGGCCCTTTTCTGTACTAAATAAAACTGGAAAGCTTAAATAAATCCATAAAGTGGGTAACACTTTACTGTAACTTCCAGTGGAAAAATACAAACGTTCAAATGATGAATCTAGGAAGCGTGTGCCAAACTACACGGAAAGGACCATAGCACATGACCATGGTGCTGCTGAGACACACATTGTAGAATCCCTTGGTGTCCCACCACGTGCTGGGACTGCGGAAGGTGACTGGGACCAGAGCAGGTATTCATCTTCCTGTACCAGCCCTTATAAACCTGCCCGGTCTTGCAAGAACTTACCATCGTTGAACAGGATTTGTTCTGTAGTTTGAAATTTATATGTGCATCATGTGTTTTGCTCCTTCCTGGCTCACCCTGGTGTGAAGATCCTCTAGTTAATGTGTTCAGGAAAAACTCCAATAAACTCAGCATGGTGGCACCAGTGCATGTGAGAGGAAAAGCAGGATCTCTGCAGAAATGGGGATATTGGCTACACAGGCTGTCTGCTTAATGTCCTAGGTACATTTACTGTTCATTTTTCACAGATTGCCCTGGTAGATTTGACTTTTGTCAAAGCAGATTAACAGCAAGGCATTCATAAAACATTTTGCCGTATGGTAGTACAGACTGAGCTTTTCACTTACAATAGATGGCTGAGTAAGCTATCGACATGAGCTATCATATGTAATCAAGCTTGCTAGATTAAAAGCAGGACTTGAGCCTAGCAAACAATGCTGTATATTACTCATTGAACTTCAAGCAGCAGTTCTCTCTTGTCAGGTTTTATTAAAATATTCACATGCTTCCAAAATGAAACAAAGGTCCACCGGCATTCTCTTGGAGAGAAGAGGTGGGATCAGTTGCATTCGGTTGCCATTTGGTTGGAGATGTCATACAAAATCCTCACACACTGAACATGGCTGAGTTGTAAAAAGCTTTCACTCAGAAAGGAGGTCTTTGTAACACAGAGTCTCTGACTCCTCCAGCACTCACCAGACATGGTTACATCACATTCTCAAAGAGCTGTAAGGATCGCATGATATTGTCATCCTGAAAGCAATGAGAAGACATTTTCATGAAACCAGCACTGACAATCACGACTCGTAACTTTGCATGGCAAAAGAGGGGCCCTGCAGCTGCCCCTGCAGGCAACAGCCTTGCTTTCGTAATGCTTTTTCATCCTCGATGAGCTGGAATTGATTCAGTGATCAGGTTCTGCTTCAGCAAATCAGTTGTCTCTTACTTTGGCACCTTGGTTTGAGGCACGCAAGCACAGGATCTTCTCACAAGCTTGACATTCAGCATGGGCTGTGCTTTACTGAAGAAAACCAGACACCAGCATTGAGCTGGTGCTGTAATGAACCCTCAGGCTTCAGTGCCCAACTGCATTTCATTGATCCGGAATATGCAAATACACATTTAGGTAATATGCTTCAAAACTCCAAATGAAATCGCAGGTTTTGAACTGATAAGCATGCTGCCTGGAAGGACCACTTGACCCCAGAAATACAACCAGCTCAAACCCAAAATACAGGCAACCTCAGCATCTCTGAGGTTCCTAGATCCAAATGAGAAAGTTGGAGACACACAAGGGAAATCCCAGATTGTCTCTCATGAATTCTTGAAATTGTACTTCAAGGTAATAACGAGAGTAATATTCAAAAACATAATGATGATTTTTGTACCCCCTCCCCCCTAGGAATTCAGTTATTCCAAAAGTTAGAATAACTGTTAGTCTGTAACATGAAAATAACTTTCCACATTGAGCAACTTAAGAGATCTACTGCGTCTCATTCTTCTATCTTATTTTGAGGCTGCATCATCTATCTCACTTCTAACACAGTTTGGTGGGTACCAGTACAAGGTATCACCTTGCATGGGAAACCAATCATCCTCTCCAAAGCAATGCTAGTTCACTGCCCATGAGCCGCACCCTCAGAAATGGCAGAGCAGAGGTAAGCACTATAGTGCACTTTGGTTTGTTTTCCATAAAGAAAAAAAACCCAAACCTCTTAGCGTTGCAGGGCTTACTCCTATCTGCCAGGAAACCGCAGTCCATCAGACTGCACAGCAAGTCTGTCAACAGAAGGAACCAAACCCAACCTAGGGTAGAGCACTGAACACACTCTAATAGTTAGAAGTAAAGCTGCTTTAATACCAAGACACACACATGCATCCAGCCTGAAGGGAAATTATGAATGTGAAGAATAATACACAACACAAATGATCAAATTAAAGATGAGGCCAAAAATAAGCTAAGCAATCAGGAGAGACCAAGAATGAAGTATTGAATGAAGACCGAAAAAAAATTACTCTTGCATTATGCATCTGTCAACAAGGATTTTGCTGCCTGAAGTCCTTGACTGAGAAGTAATCTGGACGTTGCCAGAGCCAGACTTAACACAGAAACCACGGGAAGCCAGCCTAGCCCTCCGCAGTGAGCATCTTCCCATTGCTCAGGTACAGAACAGCTGTCTGACTGCAGAACAGGAAAGATTTTTCCAGGGAAAGTAAAATACACAGGAGGGCTGGTATGCAATTATTTGCACCTCTGTCAACTTACTAGAACAGATAGGCCATTACTGTACTGATTAAATATTAGAAATTACAATTACAGTTTAAGACAACAGACATTTGGCCAACTGCATGTAAATGCAGATGCTTGTCTTTGTGCCAGTGCTAAAAATACCAGCAAATATTTATTACAGCCAACCTAATGAACGGAAATTGCAAGAGGGAGCTTATTTCCAAAAGAGAAAAACAAAAATTTTATGATAACAGCATTTGCTTTTAATGTTTGAACATGAAAACATCAACTGGGTTTGTAAGTCACTCCTATAACTACAAGATTTTAGAGACCTTCGGCTCTGGACAGTTCCAGCAATGTGGTACCTGCTAATGACATCCAGGGGTAGCACACAGTCTCTTAAAAAAAAAAATGAAAAAAACCCAAACCACAACAAAAACACTAAGGAAGGTTAAGAGCATTATGAGCTTTCTCTAGAGTTATCTGCTTATCTGCTTGTCTACAGAATCCTAGTCTGCAGACTGCAGTTCACTCAGGAAAATAAAAGCACTGGAAATGAAGAGGCCCTCTCCCATGATTTGCCTGACCCCACGTCCCTAATTCAGTCACAGACTTCTCAGAACACCACCAGAAACTCAGTCTTGAAGCTGGCTTTTTCACAAAGCAAAGGAAACCTGGGATCCTGAGCAGCATCTTGTTTCAAATGGAGTTTGTCCAGAGGGAAAGCATACATTGTGGCGTGAGCTACACCTTTCATTACAGTTATAATTTTGTCCTTACCTCCTGACACGATTCAATAAACTCATCTAAAGTTACAACACCATCTTTGTTTTTATCCATTTTCTGCAAAATAAAATATATAAAAAAGTTATTTCCATAGGTAACACTGCAGTTACAATATCTTATTTGATGCAACCTGAATAAACCTAAGGGACTTCACAAGCTTAGATTATAGACTCAGTGTCATTGGATACAGTTGCCAACTGCTAAGAACTTGTTTACTCTGGTATTTGGACAACTTTTGAGGTCACCTGCAACTATTCCTTCTTTGACATACACAGCATTCACTACCCTTATTACTTTGTTTATTTATTCACTGCCTCACCAACCAGCACCCATACTCCTGTCTCTCTTTACGGGCAGTGGAGAGAAGCAGCACATAAGGGCTGCAACACATGCAAAGACTTCAGACTTGCTAGATGTCACACATCCCATTGCAAAGGGTCAGGCTAAAAGACAAATGGGATACCTTGGAGTCAGGAAATCAGCAGACACTCTAGTGTTAGGCTGAATAGCTGCTAGGGTTTATTTTGGAATATATGGTGGGGCATGGGATTGAACTTAGGACTAACCTTACAGTAAAGTATATCAGTGCACAGCTCGAGTGTAAAGATAAACATCAAAAATCAAGTACCTGGAAGAACACTTCTACATGCTGCCTTGGAGCATCTTCCTTGAGCACTGGATATGTGTACTTTCCCATCATATCATAAATTGCCTTTACGATATCCATCATTTCCTGCAGTAGCATCATGCCAGCAGAAATAGAAAAAGGAAATTAATAGAAATGATAGCACATTTCTTTCTTTTACTACCCTTTTCTTCACCCTCCTTCTCTCATTACAAAACAGCACAGAGAATGCCTATACATGTGCATGAAGACACAGACAGATGTATCGTCATATACAAGTTCATCTATGAAAACCAAGTGCTTCTTTCTGACTGTGCCAAGACTTTGCCACAGCCACGCTGGAGGTGCCTGCAGCACTCGTGTCTCTCCTCTGGCCAGGCAGCACTGCAGGACTTGTGCTCTGACACAGCAGCTGCTGAGAATGGTGCCGGGCTGCAAGTGGCATGCTCAGTCCTGAGCACCGCAGCACTGACCTTGTCCCAAAGCCTCCTCCAGGGCCAGGGACCTTCACAGCAGTCACTGGGAACCCAGACCTTCTCCACGCCTTGCACAAACTGCCACACAACTCCATGACCAGTAGCAGTAACCTCCAGATATGCACAATAGTTTTGAGAAGATAGACAAAGATGTATTTGCAAAATATTCAGGTTACCATGCTCAAACCCCAAGTTTTCCCACAAAGGGAACAAGCAATAGCAGATAGGAAGATAAAACCATATGATAATGCGGGATTTGGGAGTTGTGCTGAGGCCTTGCAGTGCTTCAGGTAAGCCTACACCATACCTCCCAGTGCAGTCAGAAACCCCCCGCGATTCAGTCACCGAGCAGCTATTGTCACCGTCACCCTCCCCTTTGCCCTTGCTCATAGCTGTAACTAGGATTTTACTCCTGGCTAAAGCAATCCATTAAAGGCACTGTAATATAGGAAAATATGTCTACAAAACCATGCAATAAGATCACTGTGTACTTAACTTAGATACAGATAAATGCTCAAGTCCAGTCTGATTTGCATTTAATTAGCTACATGTAAAATTAATTGTCTTCTGCAACAGAAACCAGTTGGTTCCCTTCAGAAATAGGCCACATTTGTCAGAAACAGCCTTACCTCCTTGTTTATATAGCCATCCTTATTTATGTCATACAGATTAAACGTCCACCTTAGTTTTTCATGAACGGTTCCCCGCAACAGAATGGACAATGCCATCACAAAATCCTGGTTTAAGGCAGAGACACAAATGTTAATTTTCATCACTTCCTTTTCTAAGTCATCTTCTTTATATAATGCCCGTCAAAAGACTTCTCTTTTTAGGATAGAGCATATGGTTATCAATCTCTTCTGACTCCCTTTTACAAAAATGTGTCCCTTCTGACTGAGCTCAATGGACATAGCATCTGCTAACATGATCTGAGTACTGTCACACTAATAAATGTGTATGAGGTAACCAGGAAAATCAGAAAAGTCCTCAAGTACTCAGCAGCATCAGCCCCTGTAAAGTCCGAGCTTATGATATAGGTTAGGCAGCTTAGCACGGCTGGAAGGGCAGAAAGAGCTAATGGGTGCTGCAGCCTTAAATTCCCCTAAGTCCTGGGGTGGGGGGTGTGAAAATAGCACACGACTAAGAGCAGATCCAGTCCAAGACAGCTAGACTTAGATCCTAAAGTTGGTAGGACATTGGCTGCTTTGGCTCCTCAGACTTGCCAGAAGCAGCACAGTATGCTTAAGGGTGGAAGATGGGACACCTTCCTTGCTACCCATCCAAGTTTATTGTGCTCCAAATTCTGAATACTGCACGAACATAAGCATGGCAAAATACACGACTAGTTTTTAAGAGCACTGCCAGATGCTCCAGAGGCCATTCCCCTCCCCTCTTAGAAATGGTCTGCTGCAAGCAGTCACTCAGACTCCCACCACCTGGTTACACACAGTGGGACTCTAACTTGAGCAGTAGAATATGATGCTTTCTTACCCACAAATCTTGGGTCCTAGTGAAGGAGGAGGAAAATCCAGCATTTTTTCTGTGCCCACCTTGAGAGAGATGGAGGGATCCCAAATTCCTCTAACACAGGGAGCCCCAGGTTTCAGTCTCTGGCAAAATCTGTCAGACTTGACCAGATGCGATTCCCACCACTAATTACTTAGTCTGGGACACATTTTAAGCGGATTTTTTTGTTTACAGTAAAGTTATTCAGTCTAATAACTTTGAATTATTGTTTATATTGCACAATGGCTCAGGCACTGTAAGTAGCATGGCTACAGAGATTTATTAGTACAGTCAGAGCTTCAAGCTAACAGAGCTATACAGTTCTTGATACCTCACTTAATGTACTTAGTCCTTCCTATGTTATCTCCATTAGTTCTGCATGGGGCAGTGCATTACTCCTTAGAAACCTTTGCTCCTTTTTCCCAAGACTCAAAGGAATTTGAATTTGCTGAACAATACAAAAAAAGGGGACAAAATGCTTATGTTTGACAACCACTAAAGAAACAGGTTTGCCAGGAAGAAAAGCTCAGCACTTTTCTCTTTTTTAATACTTATCTAAGCATTTTCCTGTATCTCAGCCTGTTTAGGTTTCTGGAAGCCTGTTACTACTGAGTAGCTGCTACAGACACATACATATACATAACGCAACATTCCTGTTTTACATTTGATAAATGAATTAATTTCTCAGCCTTAACTGGAAATTACCAGAGTTCTTGGCCATTTGATGGAAAAGGCAAGACTGGCTATGATTTCTAGTTTTAGTAAACTGTCTTCAAAACTATGAAGTTCATCCTCCACAGTTCTATGACTTAACATATCCCTTTGCTGCGCTCCTACAGCTATGTGTGTGAGCTTGAAGGATGGCTGCTTGCAGCCACAGCAACAGGCCTTTTAGTTAAAGGGTGGATATCACTTCCCTAGGAACAAAGTACCTGAGATGCTTCTTCAATATATCAAAGTAGTTTAAAAAACCCACAGTTTAGGAACATACAGATGTAACCCTGCAACGGATGATAACTGCAGAAGATGCACAATATACTGACTTTTCTTTGACATGCAAATTATCTGTGCAAATCCCTGGTCTCTTTTCATATGGAACTGTCTTCAATCTCTCCTCTCTGCTACATAAATCTTTGCCCCTTTTCCCTGTGGTACTGGCTATGATCTATAGGTTTCTTTAGTGAAAGGAAACATGCGAAACCATCTGCATAAACTAAACTGAACCAGAATTTAAAACAAACAGATTTTAGACTGAAACCTCTAACCCAACAAGTCCTACTAGTTTACAATCAAGAGTGGATGAAGAATCTTAAACACACAAAACTGAGAAAGAGGCATCAAAGGAGGATGCAAAACAATTACCTCAAACTTCACTGAGCCATTTTGTGCAGTGTCAAACGCATTAAAGAGATAATGTGCGTACATGCTAGCATCTGAAAAACACAAAGGGCACCAATTGGTACAACAATTCATTACACACTAATAGCTCTAAGCAACAGTCATGAACTTATTTTCCTTCTGTGTAAAACCCAACTTTGTAGCACTGCCAGATATTCTATGAACTAGTAAATGTTAACATGGACTTGCATACTCCCCACACCCTCCCTTAAAACAGCCTTGAAATGTAAAAGCTTTTATTACAGTAGAAACAAACTGGATTATGGGGTTGCACTTGAAAGAACAGGAAAAAATAATAATAATAAAAAAATCCCAAGAGTGTCTCTGGGGCAAATGGAGTATTAGCTCTGGTGGGAAATGCAGCAAAAGCACCAGAGAGTGACTGCAGCATGTGTGCTTCCTTCCTCCACCTTTTTTGCCTCGTGTGAGATACAGCAGAGAACCCCAGGGACTGTTCAGCTTCAGAAGGGTCTAGTTCCAATAACATGAGTTTGCCCACAACTGCTAAAGAGCAATCTCATCCAAGGCATATTTTTGTCCTTTTGAATATCTAACAACTGGTTTTAAAAAATTGAGAAAACCAGTTTCTATGGCCATGCGAAGGATGGCTGTTAACTGGGAAAACCAGTAACAGTATACAGAAAAAAAATAAAATAAAATAGGTGTATGACACCTTAAGCCCTTCGCTGGCCTGTTCTCGGCTCTGGGGGCAACTCACACTGCTCTCTGCATTATCAGAGCCCAGCTTTTCACAATGGGAGCAACTGACATTAAATTCACTGAATGATTTCATTGCTATTCTAGCAGCCATGCACGTATTTGTCTCTTCTATTCTTTGCCTCTAGCATGCAGCATTAGTCTAGCCCGAGTGTTCATACTCAATGTATGGGTACTGAGGCGAAGCCTGGTGCCCTGTGCTATGCAGGCAGTCAGGTGGAAAGACCTGGCATCTTTTTACTGTGATTTCTATGAAATCATTAAATATTTTCCCATTATTCAAATCCAGGTAAGTGTAGAAAAATCAAATACTTAAGTCACTGTCATCCATAAGGATTGAGTACACTGGACTTCAGGAAAAAAATTGGCTACTACATTTTTAAGAGAAGGATTATGAAATAAAATAACTCCAGAAGAAAACCATAGAATTATTTGTGGGGCTTTCCTACAAAAAAACCCCTCCTATTAAGCTAAACTAAACAATGAACTAAAAATATTAAACTAGAGGTCTCATTTCAATAGTGTATGATGTACATTCAGAAGTACTAGATCACTAGAATCATTTAAAGATTAGCAAAAATGAAAACCTGTCAAGGACAGGAGTCCTACATAACAAAAATATCACGAGCCTGGGATGACACTGCACAAAGTTTTTGTAATTCAGAGATACTTTACTACCTCTGGAATGTACAAGTTTATTTGTACAGAGAGCCATAAAAGTGAAAAAAATCTCTGAGGAATCTGAAATCTCACAATTTATGATGCTAAGGTTAGACAAACAGTCTGGAAACTAAATGAAAGAAAACTGTAAAATATGAAGTCACATGTGCTCTTAAACTGATTTATTATTAAGCATGGTTGTACTACCAACATCACTAACTAAGGGAGAACCACATTTCAAGGCAATGGGACACACAAAAAAAGAAAAAGCAAATCTCTGTCAACCTCAGTAGAGGGGAAAAAAGTTATCTATCCACAAAAAATGAAGTTTCTGTGCCTGGTTGTTTTTCACACACAGGAAGGAAGGAGTCACCTGAGTTGTGTCACTTAAAGGAGTTAATGTAGTTACTTAAGGTAACTGGAGTTAATTGGACTTACTGGAACTTCGGCTGAAAACAAAAAACACATCCAGAAATACATTAAGATTAAAAATACTTAATTTTTTACATATCTGTTGAAAAAATTTAATTGAATGGTTGGGAAGGTGTCTCTGCTTATTGCAGGGGGGTTGGACTAGCTGACCTTTAAAGAGGCCTTCCAACCCAAACTGTTCTATGATTTTTACAACTGAAACAAAAGCAACAACAATAGAAAATCATCAAGTCCATACTGATGAACTTTTTTTAAGTGTACATCTTTGAGGTCACATGTGTTGTAAAATATAAACATAACATGTCTTGACATTTATTTGTGAAACCACCTGTTAGTGATCTTCTTAAACTAAACACACATGCACGCGCACACTCTCTTGCAGAAACTTCAGTCGTCATTCCACAGTGAGTGTATTCTGCAACTACTACAAAGTGGAATATATTCAGAAAGCCTCAAATACTGCATCTTTTACCAAAAAGCCACTTAAACCCATGACTCATTCATTTCAATTTGAGAACAGTATGCCCATGGAACATATCCAGTTAGAAGAATATACGGATTCCTGATGTTTTTAAAAGGCAAGAACACACATTATTCAAGAGCTTTGATACAACACTTTATATATTCCAAACCATGATGTGACCGTGTCTTAAGTAGTCACACAAACAATGATCATTTCAGGTAGCACACATCAACTAAGAACCGCTTTAGGAATTTTAGGGAGTTTTTGATTAATTTGCAGGCCAACATGAGGTCTGGGACTCTTCTGTGCTAGATATGACGTGCACAGCACTCCAACAGCAGGGAAGTACGACACACTGAGGGGAAGTGATTTACCTTTCTGCCGTCCAGACACTCAGGACAGGAAAACGCATCAATCCCCAAGTTTCTATCTCAGACTAGGGCACTATTTACCAGAAAGAGCTGACAACTAGGGACAATCTTTAACATGGGTTTGTCTATATTCTTGTGAAAAGACTGCTCAAAGGGCCTAACTTAATTTTATTACCTTGTTGTCTGTGTTTCTGTTTAAGATCCTGCAAAGCTCATTTCACATTTCTTACATTATCTGAAGTAGTTTTGCAGCCAGCTGGCAGTAATGAATGTTAAGGCATGCTTCAATAAACCCAACAGACACAAAGTACTACCGCTTACCTCCATGAGGAAAAAACTGTGCATAGATCTGTTTGAACGTTTCTTCATTAACAACCCCGCTAGGACATTCCTGTTGGAAAACCAAAAAAAAAAAAAAAAAAAAAATCAAGAAAAAAAAAACCCAGCTCTGTAAAGGTTCATTTGGAAAACTCTACAAGCCCAAAGAGAGCAATTAAACAAATCAAGTTTCTGTTCTCACAGTGCTCTGGATGCACAGGCTGTACAGCTGAAGAAATTAAAATAATTCAGACTGCAATTTCATCTTAAGTATCTCATAGACTTGGTTCACCATTATTAACATTTTTAACAGTGTTTTCCGCAGTGTTTAATACTTGTTTTATAGGATGACCTAGAAAGGCAGCTGTCATTTGTCATATGAAGCTTTTATCTAATAATTACAAATAATGTCACTGCCAGCTAACACTTCCCCGTCCAATGCCTCCACATATATGAATTGATTAATCCTGAGCAGAAGACTGTAGCCAGATATCTGACACCAGCTCCATGGAGGCTAACAGTACATACTATACTCATAAGTCCTTACAAACAAGCATTAGTATTGGGCTGAAAAAGATTAGATTGATTGGATAAACAGGTTAAAAACAATCTTCTTTAAACTTCTGAGAAGCCAGACTGTGCCCTTGCAAATTTTCTAACCTGGCAATCTGTGCGGTTATTTTATTTTTAAGCTCTTGTACTAGAACGTAAGGGATTTCGTTTCACTTTTGGCTGCTTCAAATCAGGGCAAACCCTTCAGAAGAGGGTGGCAGATCATCTGCCCTGAACTTCCTGACCTACTAACTAGCATTCAGGTAGAGAAAAGCAGAGCCCTGCCTGATGTGCTCACACTTGCTCCGCTACAGCCAAGCAAAATCCAAGCTGTTATGGCAGTTTGGGGTGGGAGGTGCTCCCTGGGCATGTTTGCAGTGTGGGCAATACCCATGAAGAGGCAGATGTGGCAGCTACGAGGAGCTGAGCCCCCAGGTGCTTTACCTTGTAAGTGATATCTGAACTGAGGTCCTCAGATCTTCCCCAACAGGATGCAGACCACAGGCAATGGAAACGGTGGGTGAAAAATGGCCTAAGAACTGTCTCCGTTTTGTGAATCCTGTTTCCTTATTCTCGACTCGTTGTATAAACTTAAGTTATTTGAACACTTCATGTAAAATTCAAGAGCAAATTTAGCTTAACTATGGTGCTTTAGCACCCCCCCAACAGCTCAGTGCTGTTACAACACATGCTCACATATCAGTGAGCGCCTCAGGCACTGCCATCTGACTATGTGAAGTTTTCAATTACATAGAATATTTTCCAGTTGACAACACTCTTCCTCACAGATTTGCCTATCAACCAATTTTGAAACCTAAAACAGAGTAAAACAATAACATAACCATGGCACTGATCCTTTTTCTCAGAGCACAGAATTAGAGATACAGAAAATTCAGCTTTCTCCTGTGCTCAGAAATACCGACTGGCAGAGACACCGTGGGTCTGTCCCCTGCTGCGGGTGTTTGACCCCATTCACAGCAATTCAAAGTCCTCAGCCTCAGCTGAGGCAGTGTGTCACACAGGAAGAAGATGGAGCAAGAGCACTGCCACTCCTGGTAGGACATTCTGAAGATGAATTGTCAGAGTAGATAAACTGAGAATCTCTCACAAAACAGCTGTGTATATCTTGGTTTGATACTTACAACTAAGCTGAAGGTCAGATTTGGGATCAAGGAAGTTCATCAGTTACTGGCAATATACTTACTCCATACTTTCCTCTTTCTATGTCACACTATCATTGCTGTCCCATTTTAATATAGGGCCTTCAGCAACAAGTTTCACAGATCTATAACCTTTTGCACAAGGAATCAAGCTTTCAATTTTTGGAACCTGACTCCTACTGCCTTGCCTGGTAGCCCTGAATTCCTGTGTAGAATGAGAGAGCAAACAGTTGATCCCGAACCTTTTTCTACCTGCCACATGGGGTTTTGTAGATTTGCCCTTTGTTATCTCTTTACCAGGCTGAAGCATCTCACCCTGAGAAACATGGAAGGCACTGAGCATCCTTTGACCATTCCTTCTCTGCATCTTTCTATTTCCACTGTACCCTTTTTGAGACGGCAGTCCAGGACTGCACGCCATGTTCAAGATACCTTCTAAAGTAATGGAAATTTATTTGAGAGTTCATCCTTTTGTGCTAATGCATCCTACGAGGGCCATGCCCCTGTGCAGAGCGAGGCGTTGTGGCGGCACAAGCAAGCTTAGAGATGAACAGAAGTGAGTTGAAAGAGCACAGAGCTGTACAACTTTTACATCCAAACACACTACTGCCACATTACACTACCTGGAATATGCATGCTACACCACATGATGCTCTTGGGGTGGAAACCCCCCTAATCTCCCTTTGATTCTGTGCTTGGCCTGGACTTCAGTACAGAGCAGGCTTGGGAGCGCGTGTCACTGCCCTAGGTAGGTTTGCAAAGCAGGGTAGACACCAGTTTTGCGGTAGTTACTCACTACCAGCAGCCTAGAGCTGCCATAGGTGCATACACTCGCTGTGTTATACCCCACTCTGCAGATCCAAGACAGACAAATGCTTATTCTGGTAGCATTACAGGTTGTTGAATTTGAGATGAGTAACCTTAGGAAGTCTAAGAAAATCCCTTTGAACTGGTGACACAAAAAGCTGGAGAAAGATTCAAGCCTATGACTTATTTATTGATGAGTTCTTCAGATACCTTTTAAGAACAAAAAGGACTTTGACAAGAAATTCTTCCACCATGAAAAACCTATAAAGGTAAAAAGGCTTTTTTTTCTTATCTGCCAGCATCACCCGCTGCTGATGTGTATTCACTAACCACAGAAAAGGACAAAATGAACAAGAGAAATCACATTATTCTGTGCAAGGTACGGAAGGAGAGCCACGACGGGTACTTCAGGTGACATCAGTGGCAGCTCCTTAATCATATACCTGCTCACTAGTGTTACTAAATCGGAGTTCCTTCCTCCAATGCAGAAGAAACCCTGCCGTCTTCTACCCACTATTTGGGTAGTAAACCATCAGTGATTTGGGAGAGATTTAACCTAAGTAAAGGATAAGTTCTTGCTTAAAAAGCCCTGGTATCTTTTAGTCTGTCTTCATGTCCTGACAACTGTCCTTCCACTGGTTACGTTTAAGTGTCCCAAATAAACCCCAAACCTGACACTGTGGTCTTGACTTTGCTGGGGCCACTTCTTCTCCAGTGTTAGTGTTCAGGGCTTGTTCCACAGCAAGTAGATGAAAAGACCAACTGGACTATCTAAAGCCAGTGGCTGCAGGACCAGACTTGGTTTCACAGACAAAACTAACAAAACTTTCTAATTCTGTAGTAGAATTCCTGGTTAGATGAGCACCCTCAAAATGTTCCAAATCTCCTAATACAACAGCCAAGTTTCTTTGTCATGAAAAAAGTGGTGTCCTCAAACCAGGACAAGTGGTTACTTTTTCATCTGTTCGTGCCACTTCTAATAGGCTAGAAATCATTAAAAGAATAATTAACGAAGGTAATAGCTACCATCAAAGTATTCTCCCAAAGTTCATGTTTTCCAAAGCTTGTCATCTAATGTATGTTAAACAAATAATCTGATATTTATTTATGGTATCTTTTAATCTTAGATCAGACCAAGTACCCTATCAACAGCCATTCTTTGGGCAGAAATTTTCTCCTTGGTCCTTGAGTGCTACTGCTCCAAGACCCACAGTGGGTCTTGGCAGAACTGCACGGTATTTGACCAAATTGTCATTCTTTCTAAAACCAAGCCTAGCAGAGCACCTAACCATCCTTTCCAGCATAGCACTACTGGCCAAACACACTAAGCAAAGATGTGTTTCTTTCTCTCATCTTGATAAATACAACTATTATATTCACTGAGAACGATCACTTCATATGCTTAAAGACAGTTTATACATGTAGGTACTGATCATTATTTTCTCTATACTTTCCACAACTGCAGAATCCCTTGGACCTCTTCCACATCATATTAATAGCCCGTGTTTACTAAGAGCCCCAGCCCACCACTACCAATCCTGAGAATGAAACTTAATTCTGTGAAGGGCAGGCACAGAGGAGAGGCTGCTGCTGCAGGCACTCTTCTTACAGAGGCAAGGTCTCCTGTAGCAGTTCTGGCCATTGTGCCTGATTAAATTTTCTGAATTTCCACATGATCCTTATTGCTTCTGATGCTCCATCTGGAAGCCAAATGAAAGTTTGCATCAAACCTCCAGGAGTGCTGGGGAGAGGCAGCACTGACATTGATCAGCCTGTTTAGCTCTGTATAACTGGATTGCTTTCAGACACATATGCCAGTACCAATTCATTTGCACTTAATTGATCACAATTTTGTTTTTATAAGAGTCAAATAATGCTCAAGAGGCCTCATTAGTGCTACAGTACAACTTAATACAGCTGACTCAAAAGAAATTTCTCTTGCGAAAAGGAGCAGGTAAGCTTAGCATCAGTTTAAATTCCACTGACAATAACAAAGCTTTACTCATTTAAGAAAAATTTCTTGGCAGTATGAAAAAGCACGGTCCTTCTCCATAACATTCGTAAGGGCTTCCTTCAATGGCAGAGGGTTAGATTTCAGGTAAACACCTCTCAGTTCTTTAACCTATGAATTCTTTTAAAACATCTGACAAGAACAGTGAACATTTTTCGTATTGTCGTCAAGCACGGAAACAACCACTCATTTTCAAAAAGCTAACTATCGAGCATTGGCAGCATGAGTCATGCATTTGAATCTACCCTCAGACTTCTTTTAAAATACTAAACCGCAAAGTAGCTATATCCACATAAAAAAAACCCACCTCAAACAAAAGTTGTACTTGCTGTTCCTTCTTCTGCTGGAATCAGAAATTAACTTCATTGACTGCCTTCAAATATGTGCAACGCCAGCAAGGAAGTACCAGCAGCAGAGCTGAAGTGGGGCTAAAATAACCTGCCCATCAAGTGTTCTCAGCTAACTCGTCCAGCACACTAAAAGGAGTACTTGAGGAGGAGTGTCCCAGTTTGCTAAACTGGAGGTATTAAATTAACTGACCACAGACAGACTCTAATATAGTCTCCTTCAGGATCCACAATCCAGATTTGCATTCATACATGCCAGATATTTTGCTGCTCTTAGTATGTTCTCCCAGTTTGGAGATATTTTGGGGATTATTAAAGTATCAGAAAATTTACTCCTTGCTCATGCTGCTTGCTTTAGTCTCCAAAACCCTGATTTGTTACAGATGATTACATCTCATACTATACTCCATTACAGATTTGCTAAAACATTCACACTAAAGCAATGTAAGAATGTCTAACAGCCCCTCAGCTATTTGGGTTGCCTGTTTTCTGATTTAGTATTACAAAATTATCCCTTGCTGCTAACAACCACTTCCCCTAACAGCAGAGAACCCCCTGAACTGAGCAAAAAGTCCCATAAAAATCCCAATCCTTTTAAATCCATGCATGCAATTCCAAAGAACGTAAGTCATTAGAAACATGGTCTAAATGGGAAGTATTGAATTATTGAGCTCAAACCTCGATCATTGTTGGTCACTTCATGAGTCATCAACTTATCAATTTTAATCTTAAAAATAGTTTCTTGTTCTCCTCCCTCCCATTCCATCACTTTTCTCCAAACTCTACTCCTCTGGAGAGTGGAAAATTTCTAATTCCAGACTATGCTTATTCATGGCCATTTTTTTCCTGTGCCAATATTGCCTTTCAGCTCAAACAATTCTCTCTCCTGATATATTATAGACAGAAAGTATCACATTTTATTTTGTTAAGCTAAACCAAACCAAAGGTTTTTGCCATCTCTGTTACCTTGCTTTTGGAGAACCACAGCCAAAGCAATCAGGCCAAATGCCTTGCGTTAAACTGGCTCCAGCCTGACAGCAGCTAACTCCAAGGTGCAAAATAGACTATTCCACATAACGCAGAATGCACCTTGGGGACAGAGTTAACTGCTAAGATGAAAGTCAACTTCTGGTCCTGGCATCAAGAGATGTTGGAAGATGGCACCCTTTCACAACTGGAAAAGAAAGCTGAAGGCAAAAAGAGAAGGGACATTTGGCCAGGCTGCAAGGACACTGTCCTGGTGAGCATGCTCTGCTTCTCTGCAGTGGCAAAGGATCCGAGTTTGGTGGAAGCCTCCATCAGTCTAGTGCAGAAAAGCCAGACCTGACAAGGGACACACTGGGAAGACACTGGGAAGGTTTGGAGGGAGGGGGGAAACAGATTTCAGAGACGATAAAAGAGCAGGAATAAAAGTACTGAGAATTAGGGACCTGGTCAGCCACGGCACTAGTCCGGAGGCTACCACAGGCTGCGTTGAACTGCCTTCAGGCAAACACCATCCATGTTCGTGAACATTGAACCCTCAGCTCCTCTGACTGCAGTCGGGCTGAGCAGGGCCTCGTTCTCCCTGTGTCCATTACAAGCGCCTGCAAATGGCTCTGTGATTATCCAGGTGTTGCTTCATGATTAAACAGGACCTGTGCAATCACTGAGAGCAAGCAATAAGCACAAGCCAGAGCGAGGAACTTGACTGTATTCCCACAGGGATTTTGAATCTCCAGATGGCACTGTAACATCATCTCAAAAAGCAGACGGTTCGGTACAATAGCAAATATGGTAACAGCTGAGTCAGTTTGCCTGCTGTGCATAATTACTCATCCCATTGAAACCATGATTTACAGGCTACAAATGCTAAAGCTGCCCTTTCATTTCAATTTAAACCTTAAATATTAAAGTTGCACCCATATTGCATTGAAAGCAGCTAAAGGAAAACAGACTGCTTTGTCCTAACAACCTGATATAAAACAAGATCTTGCCAGTGTGGCCAATTAATACCAAGACCTTCAGTAAGGTCTTAGGAAAGGGTTTAGGTCACAAGTTAAAGGCACTTGTTTATCATTCTTGCCCTGGGAGGTAATGCCTCTGTACTGCAAAGCAGTAGCACAGCTGGGAGAGGCAAGGGGTAAATGTCGTATCTGCTGACAGTGCCGCAAGGTTGCCTCTTTCTTTTCCTTTGTAGCTGCTGGCACAGCCAGCTCCTCCTCTCAGCATGGAGTGGTGCTCTCCCACACAGGATTCCCACCAAACGCAGCAACACAGAAGGTGTTTCAGAGATCTTAGTGAAACACAGCGGTTAAGAACTCTGAGTTTAGTCTCCCACTGTAGGCAGTCATGTCTTAGTATACTGTACATTAACCCGTCAAGCTCTGTCTCAAAAGCCATATGATTCTTGCTGACTGCCCAAAGCATGAAGAGGTTTCAGAGTATCAGTCTTCAGTGATTAGAAAACTTCACACATGAAATGGCCTCCTACGTATAGCAAAGGCTGTACAAATACAACACATGCAACAAACAAAAATACAAACAGAAAGCTGAGCTATGCCTTGGCCCGCTTAGGTAAGTGGTGAAATAAAGGATAAAACCACCAGACTCCTTGGAGAAATCAAGTATACATTGGAGACGTGATTCAACCACATTTCAAGAATCTGTCAAAAAGAAAGGCCCTTCTCGATGTCCAGCAGGTTCCTCTCAATATTGCCTGTATTTAAGTTAGTTCAGCTTCTTTTTGGCAAGTTTTTACCCAATAGATTTGACTTTTGCTTTCCAAGAATTTTCAGCATTTCACTGTGAGAGTAGCTGAAATGCTGGAGCTGTCCTGCAAGACAACTTAAAAGCCACACTATGTTTATTAAGCTAGCTCGATACTGATCTATTAATCACCATAAAAACATCAGCTGGCATGAACCACCTGGGTGACTAAATCCAGACCCTCAGGCAACCATGTAATGAGTATTCATTCTTAAAGGTCCATAAAACATCTGCTCCATGTAGCCTAAAAATTCCCTGTTTCTATTTATTATGATGAGTCCCTGTGAGGCAGCAGCAGGCGACCTAGAAGCTGGGGCTCATGGAGCCACACACCTACCAGGGAGAATCTGGCAGGAATAGTGGTTCACAAAGATGAGCATGGTGCTGTTCTGTGCACACAGTCATGCCAGCTGGCATGCTTCCTGCTTTCACCTGAATCTATGGACTCTCTCGTCTCCTCAGTCTTGATACCCGTTTACTTTTGATTTCTTTTTGGCTCCTGTCACTTCAGCCTTATTCCCTACCTTATAGTCCTAATGTGCTCTAGTAACAGACTACTACAAGAGCAAGATTTCTCCAGCTAGAGAAAGGATTAAAAACCAACTGCCCAACTTTCCTGGGCAGCTAATCACAAGCTAACAGTACTGCTCATATTTGAACATGAGGAACTGACAGCAAGAATTAAATAAGTAATCATAAAAACTATCTTGAAGTACAGGCACGATTAAGGAAATTACAGTGTGTTTACAGTAATTTGGGGAACAAATTTAACGAGAATATTACATCCTAAATATTCATCAAAGCCCAGTTTTAGGCAGATTACGGTGTCATAAATATTAGATGGAGAGGCAGACTGTGCTCATTTTGCTATGGTAAAGAGATCTAGCACAGAACTCTTAATGTTTAGCAGGGGAGTAATACAAAATGCAGCTGAGGCTGATGGGGACATACATACTAGACTTGGTTCACTACTGTATTGTTCTTACATTTTTAAATCCTCTGTAAAGCACTTGAAGTTCTCTTTTAGTGAAATTGGTTTGTGCTTCAAGCTGTTCCAGTCCTTCGGGTCTATGGCACACTGTAGTCATTTCTAATTCATCTTCAATTTTATCTGAAAAAGAAGACAGGAAAATATTTATTTTGGTTGTTACCTTTGCTCTGTTAACATGATGGATAGGGCAGACTGGATTTCAAGAGCAGTAGACAAAAAGGAAACCACCAACCGAACTGATCTGTATAACTGTTTTCAACATCTTGAAAGCAAAATAAAAGCTATATGAGTAAAGGAATAGCTCACATTTCTTACTGGGCTGCCAATTAGCACCCCCATTCACAGAGCCAAAACTGGCAGCGAGAACAAAAGGGCAGGCAGCAGATACGTTGCTCCAAAAGGCAACACCAGGTATTTTTTATCTAAATATTGAAACGGCATGGAGGAATAGGCCTTTCAAAGTACTAGCTTTGAAAAAAAGCTGTGCAAATATAAGTGAGAGAGCAGACATGCTTAAGCATATTAGACAATCACATTATGCTGAGGGTAAACAGTGAGGGAAACTCTTCTGTGTGCTAACCAAAAAGCTTGCTCCAGAGACAGTAAAGGTCGCTTTAACCCTAAGAGAAATTCCAACGATGTCCATAGTTGCTGGAATGAACGCAGCCTGCATCTGCATGGATTTTTTTGGGAAACCGATAAGCAATAAAAAAACCTTATGTGCATTATGTTCAAGAGATCATTCTCCCACAAGGAAGAAAAATACTGGAGACGTATCACATCCTGTAAAACATTAACCTCACCTGTTTTTTGATGCATGTTTTTATCTGTCAAGCCTATTTCCCCAGCAGCGTAGGTAATGCCCAAATATATACAGTGTACATCAGTTTAAGATTCTTTAAACTTTAAGGACCAGATGCAAGTTTCAGCTGACATGAAAAGCCCATCTACATCCAAAATTTGCTTGGCATCAAAGCTAACGCTCTCCTTAGTATCAAAACCAAACGAGTTTTCCCCTGTAAAAATGTTTTAGGTTATTGGGCTCATATATAATATAGTGATGCCTGCTGAATGGTAAGGGTTTCACAGGTGTGCAAGGAAACGGAGTCACTCTGAGGAAAGGCATGAATTCAGAGCGGACTGGCTCATTGAAAGAGCAGACTAGAATAAAGCTATCTTTTCATAAGGTAATTAATTCTGTAGATATATATGAAGGTTATTAAGGAAGGACATACATAAGTTAGTGATAATGGCTAATTAATGGTTTCAGTATTAAGAAATCAGTTTGAAACATTGGTGAATTCAGGATGAGCCACCCTCCTAATCCTCTGTGTCTGGAGTTTCAGTCAGCATCTGTGAGGCTTGAGCAGTGGAAATACATGCCTAAATACTGTTCTCAAGGTCCCTTGCACAGCAAGGGAATACGCATGGGACAGAAGGAGAGTATCACAACCATTTACGGTGCAGAAAGAATTACTAAATGCTGGCAAGCAGCCAGAAGAGGTCTGAAGGAGACACCTTCTCCACACAAAGGGAATATGAAGAGTCTAGAAATTATAGCTCCTGTTAGAGGAAAGGAGATGAAAAAGGATGTCTGCTACAGGAAAAAACAGATAATGAGAAATAAAGGGAAAAAGCCATTTCCTTTGAAAGAGAACACATATCACAAAATGAAGGAATGCAGAAGAAGAAGCTGTAGAGAGATAAAAACATGGGGAAGAAATTCCTTAAAATGAGGGAAGGAGAATGAGTGGTGGAAAAAAGGCGAGGAAATCCATTTAGAAGGAAGCCACATTAGGGAGACTCATCGCTAATCCATACATTGTGTAGGAAATACTTTTTTGTTTACCTTTGGTTAACCTTAAGTTACCTAAAACCCTTCACAAAACGCATGTAGCCTTAGACTCCTTCCCTTGCCCTTCCCTGCTGTCCCCCAATACAATAAACAGTTTACATGACCTTGATAGTTGTTTTGTTTTTCCACAGAAAGCCATACATTTTATGGTGTGCTGTATAGAAGCAAGTTAGGCTCCCAGTCTCCCTCTGCTCTGTAATCAGTTAAAGATGCCCAGCTTTTCACTGACATTTCCTATTGATAGTCACTCTAAAGTTATTTAGAACTTCAGTCAATGTAAAATACGAGTGTAAAATATTGGCCGTCTAGTCTTTATATTGCATAATATAATTCAGCAGAGAAAAAAAACCAATCTATGCAACCTCACACAAGTGGTGAGGCTAATGAGGGAAGCCAGCCTGTTGGGATTAGTCTCATACTTGATTTTATTTACGTTCCTACAATGTGGCTGTTCACATGGTTTCTACGGAGGCAGGAAAGATCCAGCTGAGAAAAATCATGCTCTTTGCAAAAGCATTTTGGTGTCACTACTTTTTTTTTCATGGGTATTTTATTTGCTGTATACTTCTTAAGCAACCAGTTTTCCAAAACACTTACTGGAATTTGTATCAGTATTCTGAAAATCAATTAATTAAACAAAAAGGTCTCACTCATGGAAAACTTGCTCTATAGCTCCACAATAGCTTTAAACAAAATCTGCACAATTACAGCTGAAAAGTCTTAATTAAGAAGGCTTATCCAGGTGTCTTTTATATGAGCAGACACAAAATTATTGTCTTGGAATTATTTTTTCAAAATATTCTTGAATAAAATATTACGTGGTAAACATCGTAATTTAATAACGTTATATTGTCTTTTGACAATAGTAGCCTCATTCAGTGAGCTGTTACTTCAAAAGAGTGCAATTCATCTTCTTCAGCTTGTCCTGCAAGAATAAGTTTTTCCAACAATCAGTTCGTGAGCTTTGGTCCCGCAGGGCAGCTATTACTATGTTAAAAATAAACCAGATTATTGATGCAGATTTGATTCTATTTCCCATGCTGAGAAACGTGGCTCTTTTCTTTATAACAAACTACAGAAAGGCAATTATGAAAAATTCATCCCTTTCAAAGGGACACTACTTTTTCCTTCCGTTCTCTATTCCAGAACCAGCATCAATCTCTGCCTCTCAACAGTACCTGACGGTTCCCTGTGGGTTAATCCTTTCATCTGCTTCCTCTTCCTTTCCCAAGGGAAGTATTTTGAAAATTAGCAAAAAAAAACCACCTGTGAAGTTTTAGATCTGACCAAGGGGGCACTCAAAATGACACCTGACCAACAATTTCCCAGTAAACACTTCTAAAAATTATAGAAATAGTTCCTTCAGGGGAACATGCCCCAGTGCAACAGAACAGTCCTGGGCACTTGGAGCCTCACTGCAGAAACTAAATACAAGAAAGACTTATTAGTTCCTTTTGTCTATCACTTGCCAACAAAGAGCTATTTTCCATGGTGTTTCATGATAATATGTTTTAAAAGAGAAAACTTATTTTAGGAGTAACTACTTCACATTAAGATGCTTCACAGATCAAACATTCCCTCCCTTGTGTTTATCAGATATTTACATTTAAACTTTTCTCAGTTGTCATCCCATATTCAAAGATTTCCCTTCAGCAACATCTCTGTTCATCCCTCCTCCCTCCCTGGCGAAAGCCCGCAGTGGGCATAGCGCAGAGCTCGGAGCAGGGGAAAACCTGTAGCTGGAGACCTAAGGACACAAACTGCTCTTCTGTACAAATATTTCCAACTCTAGTCCCGTCCTGCCCGCACACCACCCCCCACCTCCTCCCCATCTTTTTTGGTCAGTATTTGTTTTCTTTCAGTGCTTTTTCTTAAGTCAGCTCTTTTAAACCTTTTTCTTCCATTCTCCGACACCCTATAAATTAACCGCAGTAACCTAAGTGGCAAAAAAGGAGGTTGTCACTTCCTCATCTGCCCTTGCCTTTTATCATGTATATTGTATTTCCTCTTATTTACATTTTTGTTATCACACTAGCTCAGTCCCTCCCAGCTCTTCAGGGATGTCACTCTATGAGATATGAGCCCTTGCATTTATAAACGCTGAAATTTTATTAAACTGAAGCTCACTTTGTGGTGGTGAGTGCAAGCAAAAGCCTACAGATACACACATGCAAATTTAAAGTTCTATTAGGAAAGTATGATAAGATATTTTATCTAATGTCATGTTCTTCCTCAGTTTTCCCTTGTTTACAGCTTGCTGAACACCCCCAGAGATTTTTGAGCGTGGGAAACAGGCGCACCACTGGTTTAAAGTTAATTGTCTTCTTCAATTTGCAAGTGCAGGAACAGACCTAGGGACTGACTGCAGACACTGCAAGGGATGTGCATGGTCACCTGCGCAGCTCAGGGGACGCATGGGACCAGCCGTAGCAGAGCTGATACACAGCTGTCACTTACAGCATCCCTTTCTAGCCATATTTTTATGGCTGGGTTTAATAGCAGGGTATGAAGTCTGGGTCTGGTAGAAGCACCTGTGCTAATCTTACTCCAAAGTAGGTTCAAGTTATAATTACTTAATTTTGCATTTCTGTGGAAAATATCATCTGTATTTGGTTAGCCCATAGATTAGATCCATTTTGTATATCAAACAAAATAAACAGTGGCTTCACTTCACAAAGAAACCCAATCCTGATCTATTTGTATGCACATGCATATTTTATGGATTGTTGCTAATGAAAGATATTGTATTTCATTTCTCTGCTGCTTGCTCAAGAGCAGAGAATGAATTTTCATTAGAGTAGATCAATATTTTAGCTGAATAAACTTTGGAAATTACTTAACGAGGCTTGGTTTATACATCCTTTCATATTTGTTCTAATTTTACTTTTTGTTATCTTTACAATTTGAAGATTTCCATACTTAGGCTGCCTGCAAATGGCCCTGTGTTTCACTCCTGTAAACTTTGCTGGACAGAATTTGCATTTCTCCAAGTGATAAACTGGAGTAATTTAAGCCTATTCATGTAAAAGACGTCTTGTACATCTACATGTCTCCAGACTGAATTGTTTCATCATTGAGGAAAACAGATTTTCAGCCACAGCTGACTCCATCAGACAAGTTGGCAGAGGGACTCCGTCCTTCTCTAACCCATGATAAAGACAAGAAATCTATTGATTTCGAAGGAAAAAACCTCTCCAATATTTCACTTTTCTAGATCTTTCCATTCCATTGGAAACAGGCCCATTTATCTGCCGTGTTATGGAAA